GTTAAAAAATAAGAAAAAGTTTTCACTTTTTGTGTAAAATTATTTTATTCGATAATGTATAGTTGAAAATGAATCATGAAAAAATGAGTTTCTAAAAAAATGAGGCTCAAACAATGACTTGGTTTCGTCCTAAAAGACAATTTGTAAGAGTAATTCAGACCATTTTTTATTTATTTCATCTGTATTCAATATAAGATTCTACCTTTTGTATATTTATAAGATGATAGCTCGTTTGAAAACCCTATTTTAAAATTTGAATTGTCATTTAAACTTTAAACATATTGATTTACTCGTCTGAATTTAATGAACTCTGATATTATAATAAAGTTTTAAATAGTCTATGAAGTATTATATATATAATATTACTTGGATAAGATCATGGAAGTGTGATTACTTGGATAAGATCATGGACCTATGACATGAAAGCAAAATACCAAAAATGCAAGACTTTAGACGTAATTTCAATGAAAAGATAAAGAGTATATTATGGGAGTCGCCAAGAGCTAACCGGGGGGTTGGAGTATAAAGTTAATGTTGGACTTTTTGTCCACATAATGATCCACGTCATCATGTTGTTGGTTGGAAAGAGTCTCGAGTGGGCCCTATACCAGGTTGGTTAAGTTACGAAGTATTTGAAAGTGGGAGCACAAAGGTAATAGCCAAAAGGTACTTCGATTTGATTAATGGGAATCCCTTTTGCTTTCTATATAAATTATTAAGATCACAAGATCATGTAATGTTGACAGACACATCATGGGCATGTGGTTTTAATTCTTAACAACGAAGGTATGGGAAAATTCAGATTCTACTCAAATTTATATATTTGTAATAACAATTACTGAAAAGATTAATCTTACGTTTTGAAAGTTGAGTAGAGATAGTGTATACATTAAAATAAAATTAGCAAGGGNTTATATATTTGTTATTACAATTACTGAAAAGATTAATCTTCCGTTTTGAAAGTTGAGTTGAGATAGTGTATACATTAAAATAAAATTAGCAAGGGACGAGTATCTTGTAAATATTAGGGATGGGCAAAATCAGACTGAACTCGTTCAAACAGTCCAAACCGAACCAACCCGACTCAGTTGGGTCGATTTTTTGTTTTTTTACACGGGTTGGGTGGGTTGGCTGTGTAGGTGGGTCGGGTCAGGTCAGGTTATGAGTTAACTCAAGAAAATCGAATAAACTCGTCCAACCCAACTCACCACTTTAAAAAAATAAATAAATAAAACGCCTATAAAAGTAAAAGAAACCTAAAAAGCATAAGTATATAGTATAACTATAATTACTTTGGTGTATTTTAGAGGATAAGCTTACTGTTCTTCCCACAAGAAATATAGTATAAGTTTTTCATGTTATGTTAAATGCACTTTGTTCTTTGTATGCTTGGCTAATGCTGATTGAATAAAATAATAGATAATTTTATTTATTTATTTATTTACTTACTATTTAATCTCGTCTATTTGAATTTAGTATAATAGAAAATTGGATGATTTTAATTTTTGTTGACAAGTAGTCCCAAACCGACCAACCCAACCCAACCTGACCGATACTTGATTGGGTTGGGTTGGGTTTCAACGTTTACACGAGTTGAATTGTGTTAAATTTTGATTTGATCAAACCGATCATGTTGGGTTTGGGTTGAGGCAAAAATTGATCAAACTTAGCCCATGCCCACCTTTAGTAAATATGAAGGAAATATGGAAACAAATGTGATTACACGAACACCGAATTTTCTATTGAAATAACGAAGTTCGACCCAACTAACACCTAGAGGATGGTGAATAGGTGTTTATGGGGAATTTAAATTTACCAATTAATAAATGCAACAAGTCACAGTTATTAATTAATTTAGATGAATTCACGTGCACAACTATTTTATTTTGAATTACTGCAATTAATAAATTATTGAAAAATAAATAACACTTGAAAATTTTTGACAAAAAAAACCAATAACTGGGTAAAAACTCTGGGCCCAAGTTAGTAAAAATCCACTATAAACAAATCAACTTATAGTATTGTCAGACTCGACTAACTCTAATACTTTTTGACCTCCTGACTGTAATCACCAAAGCCCTTCTAAATTGCGTGCTCCTGCACCAACTCCCGACATTCTGAATTCGTCTATCTCATGTGAATCAATGAGAATTCTTCATTCTCCAACAATCAGAACTCCAGTCATCTTTTTTGATTTTCAGAATTCCGATAGATGTTATAGATGTATGTGTTTTGACGTTTGGTTTATGTGAAATTGATGTTTTTCCATGCAATGAAGAAATCAAAATAAAGGTTGAACTCATAGAATGATATGTAGGAAGTAATCTCTTGTTTCTATCAATGTTCGACATCCCTTTTTCGAATGGAGGCGTGTGTGCATATTGCAGAGGTTTTGAGTAGTATGAGCCGAATAAAAACCTCGAAAAAGTGAATTAGGTTTTCTCATGATACATTGTCGCTTGAGCGACAGCTCAGCTACGACAAGCGATGGTGTGTCGCTCAAGCGAGGTCCAACGACAGGCAGGCGACACAATTTCTATTTTTACCTCTCAAGCATTAGTTTGGCGATAGGCTAGCGAAATTGCGGCGATTCTTTTCTCTTCGTCCCATAATCGAACCCTATGACTTCTAACTCACCTGTACAACTTATCACTTGACACTTTAACTTTTAAAAACTCTTTTTCAACAATAATTTT